CGTACACTGTGACTAAGTGGGAACTCCATGTTAAACAAAGCATTCGTCTTGACCAACACAATCAGCTACGCACGCGTGCATGCGCGTAGCTATTTTAGTGTAATGATCTTTTAAAAACGCGACATTAAAACACATTTTATTTCACAACCTTTATTACATCATTCTAAGCGGGCTTTGCTACAACCGGCGCATTGTGTGACTGTGTTCGAACACATGAGCCTGGGAAACTGTCTTAACATTTGGCGAAATTTCACAGTTGAAAGTGGGCTGTAAAAATAGGCTGGAATCAGTGTGTGTAATAGCCCGTGGCTAGTAAAAATCCAGTCTCAATGATTTTATGCATCTTGCCGTGTACACCCTCTTCAAGTAGAAGATATAACTTTATCATCCAAAACTGTATTCCACAGGAGATATGGCTTGTGTGAGATCAAACGATATCTCCCAGGGGATATCGTTTTGACAGTAGATTTTGTACAATACCCTGACAATGCTATGACGTCATGTACTTGATGACGTCACAATGCTATGACATCGCTGCACTGCAAGTGAAATGGCAGTACCGTGTTGAGAGATGTAAAAAGATCGAAGACCTTGCGGAAATCGATGAAAGCTATATAAAAACGATACTTTGCTTTCCGCAAGTACATGTACTTATGAGCCAAAGAATAGAGTGGAAACATATTATCTATGGTAGAACAATTATTTCTAAAGCCTCCTTGCCCTTCATTAAGTAAATCCTTACAGCTACGCAGTCTTCTTTCAAGAACATAATTGAATAATTTACCAATGACACTTAACATGGATATTCCTGGATAACTGTTGAGATCAGACATATTTCCGTTTATAGATGAGTAACGGTAAACCAACATTCCAATCAGAGGGAAATACTTCTGAATCTAAAATGACATTAAACAATGCATATACATTATTAACAACGGAAGGTGCATTCTTGATGAAATCTGGAGGAATACCATCTGTTCCAGGTGACTTGCCCGATTTCATGATACCAGAGATCGCTTTAACAATTTCCACGTGGCTAGTGGTATCTGATAAGATATCAATGTTCAAATGTTTTACACATGGCAAGCTATCATGAGCTTCAAGAAAAAGTGTAACATCGGGATCAAATTCAGTTTGACAATCATAAGTATTAAAAAAAACTAACCATTCGCTTGGTGTTTTACCATTTTCATCACGTTTACTAGCAATGAGATATTTCAGTTGTTTCCCCAAAACACTTCTGCAATCTTTGTTATTTGCTGCAATTGACAAATTATTCAAAGCTTCGCAAATGACTGTTTCCTTATTTCGTTACAAATGCGCCGGAACATACGTTTGGCCTCCAAGTAATGATTGATATTGACACTGTTTCTGGACATACATAGTTTTTCTGAAGTGTTATACTATTAACGTTTTAAAAAGGAACAACCCTCATCAAATCAAACCGGTTGCTTTTTTTTCATAAATCCCTCAGAAACTCTCCTGCTGGATTTTAAGTGCTTCCCAGCAAAGTAGAAAAGCAGACATCATTTTTCAACAACACCCTTAACATCAATCTCTTCAGTAAGGGATGTAAACTCTGATACCAATTCTTTTGCTCAGATATTTTCAAAATTAGCACCAAAGAGATGTTTCCCATCCTCTTTCAATCGAAACTTAGCTACATCAAAAGATGGACTATTAGTTGAAGTCATAGTATAAGTAGACGTAGATTCGTAGTTCAAACTGCACGGTAAATGATAAGACATTGTGGAAGAATGTACTCCCCTCCTTTCTGAAACGCTAGACCCTAAATGAAGCAAGTCAAGTTTCCTCAGGTTCGGGATCTGAATCTTCTCCCATCTCATTGAGCTCCTTTCCATTTAAAAGGAGTGAGTGAGTTAAAATCTAACGTCACATCGGCAATATTGCAGCCATATCGTGACGAGGATTACTATGACATTATATATATGTGTTGTAAACTCAACCTTTGTTATTGTATACATGTGTAAATGTATGTGAAAATTGTATATATATTGTATACGGCCTGTGGCCTATAGACAATAAAAAGACTTTGACTTGAAAAAAAAAAATATATAAAAAAAATAAAAAAATATATATATATATGTTATATGTGTTAGTCCACATCCAATCACAATGTCCAAATGTACGTTCTGTTTGGTTGGGAAGTCATCCAATTATTATGCTTCAAACTGTTCACAATTAAATATTGTATGAACTTAAACCCGTTTCTCAAAGCAACTGTTGTTTGAGATCGTGAGTGTGTATGACATCGACAGCTGACGCCAATCATAGATATGCTGTTTAATACAACAGTTTACGATATCTGTTCCTGTGTCAAACACCATTTTGAGTGCTAGTGTTTCAGAACGATTTACATAATCGTAATTTCCAAACATTTCGTTGTCAATCACATAACTCGAATATACAAAAACAACGTTTTTTTAAAGATAATGGTTCCATACACTTGCTTGAAGATGAATATCACGTGTTGCGTATATGTCCATTTTATCTGATATGTATTTCAGCCAGTGTGGGAAATAGTTTCTACAGTGGTAGAGTGAGTGAGTGAGTTTAGTTTTACACCGCTTTTAGCAATATTCCAGCAATATAACGGCGGGAGACACCAGAAATGGGCTTCTCACATTGTATCCATGTGGGGAATCGAACCCGGGTCTTCAGCGTGACGAGCGAACGCTTTAACCACTAGCCTTCCTCAACCATCATGGGAGTAGTGCCGCCTGTGTCAATGAAATGGTACCCCACCGCCCCACATGGACGGGATATGCAGTATGGGTCATAAAGCTGGGTGTATCATATTCACTGATTTTGATCCTATCTCTATACGTTTGGCACAGGAGTAAATATCATGGCGGGGGACACCAGAAATGGGCTTCACACACTGTACCCGGGGAATCGAACCCGGATCTGCGGCGTGACGAGCGAAGGCTTTAACCACTAGGCTACCCCGCCGGCCCAGGTTGTGATGACATCTACGGAGGCCATGTTCATTTTCCATCATAGTCAGTGATACACATGATCCTTTTCATCTCCATAGTCATGTCCCTGATCCTTTTCTCGATAGTATGTCCCTTCGCTTACTGCGTTTCTGCGTACACTTACCAGTGATCATAAAATTGTATGACTGACATCCGCCACTATTTGGGGAATAATTTATGAATGCACATGATTCATCTTAAACCGTAACAAGAAGACAAATGGCAAAATACTCTTCATGAATATGTCTACTAGTTATGATTATGTCAAATGTTTGGGTGTGTATATGGCAAAGTGGAAGGAGAGTATTGAAAAGTTTTTAAGTTCTGCTCCAGAGAGGAGCACTACCAAATTCAGTCGAAGCCAAAGTTGTTGGTATGGAAACACGTAAAAATATTTATTCAGAATTCCCAAAATAACGAAAGGGCACCAGATCACCACCAGACCTATCCATGTGCCAAGTTTGGTGAAGAAATAGTAAACGGTTTTAAAGTTCTGCTCCGGAAAAGAGAACTACCACCAATTTCAGTCGAAGTCGAACTTGTTGCCATGGAAACACGAAAAATACATTATTCAGAATTCCCAAATTACCAAAAAAAGGCACCATAACACCACCAGACCTATCCATGTGCCAAGTTTGGTGAAGAAATAGTGAACGGTTTTAAAGTTCTGTTCCGGAAAAGAGAACTACCGCCAAATTTAGTCGAAGTCGAACTTGTTGCCATTGAAACGCAAAAAAACAACCATTTTATTCAGAATTCCAAAACTACCAAAAGGCACCAGTACACCACCAGACACAATCTATGTTCCAGGTGTGGTGAAGAAATAGTGAACGGTTTTAAAGTTCTGCTCCGGAAAAGACGAATGTGCACGGACCGTCGGAGCGCATTTTAATACCCCCAGCAAATCGCGTTGCGGGGGATAATAATTCATCTGACTTTGTTTTTAAAAAATCCAACTGACACTCCTCATGAGCAGTCTGTTTCAAGAAACCAAACATTGCATGACTTCACACATTGTACCCATGTGGGATTCGAACACTGGTTTCTGGCGTGATGAGCGAAGAACACGCCACCCCGCCACCCCGTCGCCTCGCACCAGCACTATCCGGATACATTAAATTTTGTTATGCGAGTTTTAACCCAGTACTTTGATCAACTCTTCAATGCATACGGAGAAAGCAGTGTACAGATATTGTACAAGTAACATAGTCTGGGATTTCACTTTAACTCAGGGGCAAATATAATCATACAATGTAATTGAAAATAATTATAACTATTGTGGACATTGATTATGTTTATTTGATCTAAAATATCAATCTTCTAAAAATCAAATCATTTTTATTTTAAATAAATCCATCAGGAGTATTATTTACTGCTGACAGTACCCTACTTACGATATTTTCATAATCAGTGATGAAAGTAAGTGTGGGGTATGGTTTCTTTTCCCCATCAGTTTAGTATGTTCATAAGTTTAGCTAATGATTTGATCGATTTTTCACTGTATGCAGAGAAAAATTAAGATATTTAAAAGCCATACTGCAGTACTGACCGTTAGAAAAAAAACTTACGTAACTGTCATTTTGACTGCATACATATTTATTCTGTCATTGCAATGTATTGCTCATGTACCACTGTTCTTAGTTTAAATAAATTAAGGCCCCTTCTCGATTTCGGAGAAGCGGAAATAACAGTGTTCGTTGTTAAGATTAGGTGAAATAGAGATAATGAAAACATTGGTACTGTAGAAGGGGGGTATTTTGGGGTCAATCCTGCTGGAGTCGTTTCATGAATGAAAGTCGTTTTCAATAATCGGCAATTAAACAAGACCTGACTACTTGACAGGTGATAAAAAAAAACATATTGGGTGTCACCAATCATAAGATTTTGTCTTTTGTTTTATATCCTTTCACGAAAGTACCACTGTTATGGAGAAGAACAACATCCTATGGTTTCCGCTTGTTAAAGGGAGATCACTCTAAATTTGTTTGTTACAGTCAGGGCTGTATTTGCCGCCAAATTCGTCTTTCGGGAGAGAGCGATACAGTTCAAGAGGTGAGTATTTTGTTTTTAAGAGAGCGTTTAAAGTAACATTCGACACGATTTAAAGTATTTCCCATGTGAAAGAATCAGAGGTATCTGTTCAGTAGACGGCTTTGGCGGTGTTAGTGAAACTAACAGGTTTTTGTTGTCAGTTTCACTGTCTAATGACACCAGTCGAAGTGTAATCGTTTTCACAGCGATGTGCACATTGAATTCAGCCTAATATTGCGTGACGCCGCTTACACTATAATGATAATTGATGCTGGTAACGTGAAAAGCTTCAAGAAACAAAATGAGCCTTTCGTGTGATATCATTCCTTGACAACATCCATAGAGCTGACTTTACACAAAGAAAGAAGTATATGCTTGTCTATCACCAACACACTTAGCAAACTACCATTTTGGTGAAACTTGATATAATAATATACATTTTCACATGATGGGATTCGACAGACAGGACCTGTGAAGATCCGTGTAAGAATTTGCCTTAATCAAACAGTGTTTGTATTAAGATTGACAAACGGGATTGACTGGTCATGTTCGTCATCGTATTCCAATTGAGTAGATTAGTGCTCATGATATCATTCACTGGATTCCCTGTCCAGACCTAATTACAAGAGACCACAGTCATATAGCAGGGAAATGGCTGAGTTCGGCATTAGACAAACAACATCTGTCATAGGCGGATCCAGAGTGGGGGTGTTGCAGGGGTGTGCACCCCCCTTTTGTCCTGAAAGTTTATTAAATGACCATTGAAAACTGGTAAAAATGAAGTGTTCACACACACCCCTTTCTCAAGAGTGTGCACCCCACCCCCTTCCTCAAGAAGCTATATCCGCCCCTGTCCTTATCCAAAAGTAAGAAGTGTGAAAATGACCAAATGTGATGATCCAACATTCACACATGACATTGAGCTCATGTGGTTGACACTTTCCATCTGAGCGTACAAATAAGAAATGTAAAAGTCACAAAAACATGAATCTGCATCTGTATTACAGTTTCTATCAATAATTCATATGCTTCCTTTATTTCCCTGATCAGGCCTAAAAAAAATGTTGTGGTTCCGATTACGTGACCAACTCTTGAATTCTAGTGCAGATCCTATTTTGTTTAGAGGTATGAGTAAAATAAGCTTTCAAATGCCATCGTTTTTTCCCAGCCCCAACAGACATCGGCCATTCTGATAGAGACAGTCAACATTATGGCCACAAGCGTGCAATCTGAAACTTGATTGAATAAACAATAACGCATTGATAAATGTGTTACTAGTTCATACTTCTGAAAAGAAATGCAGAAAAGGAAACAATATTAAAAATCCTACCTAGCTACCTTAAATTCTAAAGAACCAGAACTTTTTTTTTTATTGGCTTCAAGACAAGTAACTCTTTCTGTGTATAAAATTTAAATGCAAGTTATACATATTTCAGCCACTACTGTGTTCTGGTAGCATCAGTTACCATGGTGATGCATGTGGAACTACAGGCTACGTGCAGCGCCCTTGGTTACCAAGAGGGGGACAAATATATTAAGGAACCAGACTGTCTGGGTGAGAAACGTCAACATGTTATTCCTGATGCCAAATTAACCATCAATATGACTTTGGCGATCAACTCAGTAAATTTTGTTTTGTATTTATATATGCTTTAAAGCAGAATATTTATCATTATTTGACAGTATTTCACATTAATGAATAAAGTGTTCAATATCTTAATTGTTGTGGCATGCATGGGTTGCGGAAATTTGACCGTGGTGACTTTAAGAGTTTGCACTGATAATATGTGACCAATATTCAAATATGTTGTATGAATTTCTCCCAATCTCAGTAAAATTATTTTTTACTGCTCAATACTGGTATATGGACAGTTAGAAGAACTAAAATCTGACTTTAATGAGATTGAATTTGCTCACACTAGGTAGAGGGGTATAGGTAAAGCGGTTAATTAATTTGCCTTGCTGTCACAGAAACCGTAAAGGATCTGATTCGCTTCCTGAAGCGTGAGGATGAAACCTGTGACATTCGCCGACAACTTCGGACATGCCCAGATTCTGCAGACAGATCTGATTCCCATCCTGAAGCATTACAAGGATGAAGCTACACTCTTTGAGACAGTGCTCAGGTACATTTGAACATAAAGTTGCCATTGTTACCTAATTGCATGAATTACGCACTCTACTGGCAAACAAGGATAAGTTGAGCACCGACCTGACAGTTGACCCGTATTAGCATGTCTGAGTGCCACCCACTGGCGCTTGCCATTGTTAGCGAAGGTCCCCCAGGTTGTCCGCGATCAAGTGTAGTGCGACTTGCTACACCGACGTGAGTCTTGTGAGGTGTGTGCAGCTATGCGCGGAATCAATTTCGTCATGCAATGCACATGCACTAGCCTACATCTGCTCTACCTTTCACAAATCAAATGGGTTACTCATTGCCGTGCACCTCCTACTTCTTGTAAACGCGTTTTCTGCGCCGGTCCAACTTATCCTTGTTTGCCAGTAGGTTCTTCTGGGTATTTCTTCCATAAACGGGATATCAGACTCGGGAGGTGTTTATCTGCACAGTCAGCAGGGATGATGAGTGAGTGAGTGAGTGAGAATGGTTTTATGCCATGTTTAGTAATATTCCTGAAATGTCATAGTGGGGGACACCAGAAATGGCTTCACACATTATACCCATGTGGGGAATCAGACCCTGGGTCTTCTGTATGAGGAACTAGTGCTTTAACCATATGCAAGTATGTGTGTTATGAATTGTGTGTACAGTCAATGCTTGTCTCCAGGTTAACAGTGAACCTGACTCAGCCCACTGTCCTGTGTTTCGGGAACAAGCTGCCGACAGACAAGACCATGAGGAACCATGCCCTGGAGATAGACACCCATCTGCAGACCTACAAGGAGGTATGTGTGAATGATTGTGCTTACATCTCCCCAGTCGCTGATTGGTATCTTATGTATGGCTCTATAGCAGACTGATACAGCTAGTGTTGGGAATCGGTTAAAATCTCAGAATTGATGATTGGTTCATTACAACCGATCAATCATTGAAAATAATTGGATAGCATCATTTATCAAATTTTCCTGGTTATGTTTGTTAGTGCACATAAAAGTAACGAAAAACACATAGTTCTTTTGGGTTTTTTTCACAAAATGCATTTGCAAATTTCACCTCTTTATAGGATGACTAGTATGTTAGGAACATAAATTCTTGGAGTCTTTAAGATAAATTCAATCATTGCTTGGAACAAGCTTGTAGGGCTTATGAAATGTAACAGACAAAACCAGCCTTGTGATAAATATTGTCAGTGCAAACAAGTGTTCTAAAATTGTTTGTGTTCGATTATGAGAAAACATGATCGATTGCTTGGTCATTTAGTCATTTGTGACCAATCTTCATTTTTTCAATTATTCGGACCACCACTAGATACAGCCTGTATTGTTAAAGCATCCACAGTCTGTGTAACCCATGTTCTGAATACCTGAGTGATTAACTAGCCCAGTTTTTTAACAGTATTCCACTCATCATGACATAACCAGAGGCCGAGATAAGCTGCGTATCCGGGTAAAATACGCATAGAATTATGCATTGAAAAATAATTGTTGCGTACCAATTACACATTTAAAATGTTAGATACGCAGAAAGTTTAAATATATGAAATATAATAAAAATGGCTTGCGTAATGAAAAGACATCGATTGCTATCAAGTAATAATATACAGTGTACTCTGTCAATACGGCATCAGTGGGGACCAAATAAAAATGCGGTTTTGACAGAGTGCGGTTTAATAGGTTAATGCACATTCATGTTGTTTTAAATCAAATAAAATGTCTGCGAAATCCTCTTAGTAAATTTCAACTGATCATATATTATCGGCAGAATTAAAATTATAAACCATTTTTTCGCAATGTTACTGAAAAACAACGATTCTTGTTTTATGCTTCCGGCAGGCAGATTACAATAGAGCAAAGAGCAAAGAAATAGCGATGTTTCAAACATCGAGGAAATCATTAAATAAATTGAAATCAACAATAACATTCATAAAAGTTGTCAAGCGTACATATAAAATTACTATTTCCATACTTTTTGTGCGATCATGCAATGTAAAATTCAAATTACTGACAAAGTTACATCTAAACTTTCACACGCCCTCCGTCTTGGCAGCCGGACCACGGCAAATGTGAAAATATATGCATGAAGCATTTTTGTCATAGGCCATAACCTAGCACGATATGTCAATACGTTCCATAATTTACGTAGGTAATAGCGATGTCTTTCTTAATATATGTTCAGAATAGCATTATTTTACCCAAAACCCGGTATCCATTTCCATAATATGATTGGCTGCTTAGGTCACGCGTGTCTGATTTTGACCAATCCGCGATTCCTTATAAGCAGAGTGTAGTGAAAAAGCGTCGTTAGAAACCAATCTTTATCCAATAAAATAAGCTTCTTACAAATGTGAAAATACTCTACCGGCAGAGTACAGTGATATTGTTGATGTTCAGAGCTTTGAGCGATACCACCGCCATCAAGCGATTACGCCTCTATGTAAGTGACCGCGTACCACTCACTAATTAACAAGAAACTGATTGACACTTCCGTTTCTGAATAATCTCAGGGAGTCAATACCCGCTGAATCAACACAATGTAAACATTTGCTTGTTTATACAGTCAAACTGCCCACAACATGTATTAATTACTCAGTGTAAGTGTTACGTACCACTCACCCGATTAACAAGATACTGATTAACACTTCCCGTTTCTGAATAATCTCGGGGAGTCACAATAGACAGATGTTTACATGTTTGGCAGAAGTTTCTAAATGATAATAGCGTGCATTTCTGCGGGACTGAAACTTTGTGCCCGATGTAGACAGAGTGCGGTGTTTACAGAGGCCGGTATTGACAGAGAGTCCACTGTACTTAGTGAGTAAAATGACTGAAATCACACATATTTGAAAGCAGTGGGTAACAGAAAAAGAAATACCCACTCAACATTCATAATACCCACTCCAACAAAATACAATGGGTACAGTACCCACATAAGCTAAATCTTATCTGGAGCTCTGTTAACAGCTGAATGTATGAGGAAAGCCTCAAGAGATGCAGGTCTCGATATTTACCACTTTGGTGAAACCCACAAGCACAGGTGCTGACAAACCTAGAGACCAAATTGAGGTGAATCTGGATTCAAACTCACAGTCATAGGTTTTGGGTGTACCCAAGGGAGGCAACTGTATGATGAATTGCAAAAATTCCAAAACTGTATCTTGACCACTGTCACTGCAGGGGTGGAAATAACTTTAAAATTGCAAGTGTACTCCGGTACAGTCGCACATGTAAAATCATTTGCCCTGATCATTTTTCCTCTATACCGGCCGTTTTCTTGTTGATTTTTTGAAAATAAACAACATAATTAACAGTGGAAAGTCAACTGGACACCTGTACAGTGTGATATACAAATTTGCTTGCCCGACAGAAAAAACACTGGACTCGGACGTCAGGCAATGGGTTATTTCCACCCTGCACTGTTGTGTGATAGTATGCTCCAGACATACATGAGTAGTGATATCAGTGTTCACGAATGATGTTTCAAAGTAACAGGACATTGGGTCCTGTAAGTTTAAGATGTCTGTCTGACCCATTGAAAATTCACAGGACCCATGGAATAAAATTAAACACACATTTCAGATTTAACATTTCTTATAATTGGCATTGAAATTATTTACAAACATAAGAAAAATTAAGATAAAATAAACAGCAAACAAGTGTCACATGTCAAATATAACAACTTCAATCAAAGTCATTTGTGAAATATACAGTGGGACACTGGGGCGATTGGGTTGTAGACTTCTATCGGCCCGTTGGTGAATCTGCCAAATTTGTCAGAGGGTCAGACACTATTAAGAACACTGTGATATTAATGTCTCATACAGAGTTGTATCCCTTAGACATGTTTGACATAGACAATTGTGGGTTTGAATCCTGGTTTGTGATTCTAGGTTTGTCACCCCAGTGAGGCACCATGTCACAGGTTAACATGGATATCCCATAGAGATACATTATACTGACCTTGACACTGACATGCCAGCGGCTGGCTTTGAATGTTGAGTGTTCATTTCCAGTTGTCAGGGGTGGAAATAACCAACTGCCCGCGTCTTCCTTGGGCGAGTCCAGTGTTTTTTTTATCCAATTAGGTGTGTCGGGCAAGCAAATTTGTATATCACACTGTACCGGTGTCCAGTTGACTTTCCAATGTTAATTATGTTGTTTATTTAAAACAACAAGAAAACGGCCGGTACAGTGGAAAAATTATCAAGGCAAGTGATTTTACATGTGCCACTGTACCGGAGTACACTAGCAATTTTAAAGTTATTTCCACCCCTGAGTTGTCCTTTGTGTTTGTATTCGTGTATGTATGTGTTGCTGTTACTGTTGATGTTGTTGCTTGTAGTAGTCTGACTAATGCCATCTTTGTTATAGTTCCATAGATACCATTCACAGTGTACACTATTTTGGCACTGACGCAGCTAGGCTTTGTGTTGTCCTGTAAATGCAGTCTTCATTTCCAATTTCAGGCCTTCGTAGATGAGGAACTGTTTGCTGTCTTGGCAGCTAAAGTTGGGGATATTTTAAAACTGGTACGTGACTTTCACTTTCAAGATGTATAGCCTGTTAATTCAGATGATGGTGTTCATAGTGAAATCTACCCGTGAAGGTCCGGGTTAGAATATTGATCTTCAGTAACCCATGCTTGTCGTGAGTGGCAACTAACGGGATCGGGTGGTCAGACTCGCTGACTTGGTTGACACATGTCATCGGTTCCCAGTTACGCAGATTGATGCTCATGCTGTTGATCACTGGATTGTCTGGTCCAGACTGGATTATTTACAGACCTCCGCCATATGGCTGGAATATTGCTGAGTGCGGCGTAAAACTAAACTCACTCACTCATAGTGAAGTCATTCAAAAGTCATGTATGTGAAGTAATGTTCTTAGCCCCCCAAAATATGTGTCCATTTCCGGTAACCCGACCCCGACCCTACCCTCCGACCCTAAATCTTTTTTTAACCAAGTCAAAATCATGACTGGAGTGCATTTCAACTCATCATTTTCATCCAAATTAAGTATGATATTTTTATGTTTTTCAGTGTACGTAGGACTAAAATGGATGCATTGAATTGGCATAATGGGCTCTCACTGACAAAACCTGCAAATAGATACCATAAATAATTATTTGATATAGAAATCTTTCAATGTTTCATCACAAGGCATTGTCACTACATGATATGTTATCCTTAAAGACCTTCTCAGGTGCCCACCAGGTGCTACTAAAAAAAAAAAAAAAGCTAAAAAATAAGATAAAACCGACCCACCTACCCTATTTTTACAAAGCGTGTAATAGGAAATGGACATATATTTTATTGGACCTTAGGTTTTTATGTAGATGGAAAGCTCTGATATTTTTATGTTATTAACAGTCAGGACAAGGGATGTTGGATTGCCATTTCCAGTTTAACTGTATTGAAAAAATATGTTAGGAAACACAACATCCAGTGCTTACAATAATGAGGAGGGCATTTAGGTTAGCTTCTGTAGAATTTATTCCAGGAGACCCTGTGAATCTTTTAACATTTAGCTTGAAGGCAGTGGCAATTACCCTTTATTGTTTATTGTCTGGATGCTGTGCCCTTTGAAGATCTTATGTTGGTCTTGATTGACCCAGAGTTTAGGATTTGGGGCAATGTTTTGTATTTTATGGTAACTGCACACTTGATGCACAGAAGCAACTTTTACTATTCAAAATATGTCAGATGTTCCTCTCTTTATCCCCCAGGCATGTAATGCGGGGCGATATATTTGATGCCTCGTCCGTCTGTCCGTTCATCCGTAATCATTTTGTTTCTGGAGCATAACTCAAAAACCGTTCGATATTTTTCAACAAAAATTGGTAGATATATCAAATAGATCCTAAGGTGGTGCCTGTTGCTACTTACAGATTTTTGATCATTTTTAGTTTTCTCAGTTCTTATGTTTTGGACTTAAAGAGAGGGGTGGGTTTCATTTCCGGAGCATAGCTCCAAAAACTTCAATAATTTTCTACAAAATTTGGTAGATATATCAAACAGAGCCTAAAGTGGAGCTTTTTGCTATTTACAGATTTTTGTCACTTATTATTTTCTCGGTTTCCATGGAAACGATTCGTACTTGGTCTCAAAAGTGAGGGGTGGGTTCCGTTTCCGGAGCATAATTCGAAAACCGTTCTACATAAATTGGTCGATATATCAAACAGAACCTACAGTGGTGCCTTTTACTATTTACAGATTTTTGTGAGTTTTATTTTTCTCCGTTTCCATGGAAAAGTTTTGGACTTAGTCTCAAAAGGGAGGGGTGGGCTTCGTTTCCGGAGCACAACTCGAAACTCAATATCTTTGAACAGAACTTGGCAAATATATGAGCCAGATCTTTACAGATTTTTGGCATGATTTCCATGGAAACGATTTGAACTTAGTCTAAACTTCGTCTAAGTAACTGTCAGATCGTTTGTTCTTTCAAATATGTAGGGGCGGGGGGATATGTCATCTTCTGATGACTCTTGTTTTTTTCCTAGGTGTCAGTTTGCTTAATGTTTTCATAAAGAAATTCTGTGACTGAGTTTCCTCAGATGCATATGTCCCATATTTACATCTATCCCAGCTGACCCTGTTGTTGTAGGACTGGGAGTCGCGGCACGAAGAAGACAGGTTGCTGCTGGAGAGGCTGCTTATCCTCATCAGGAACATCCTGCATATCCCCCCGAACCCGGATCTAGAACAGGTATGTCAACTGGAACATCTTGCATATACCCCGAACCCGGATCTAGAACAGGTATGTCAACTGGAACATCTTGCATATACCCCAAACCCGGATCTAGAACAGGTATGTCAACTGGAACATCTTGCATATACCCCGAACCCGGATCTAGAACAGGTATGTCAACTGGAACATCCTGCATATCCCCCCGAACCCGGATCTAGAACAGGTATGTCAACTAGAACATCCTGCATATCCCCGAACCCGGATCTAGAACAGGTATGTCAACTAGAACATCCTGCATATCCCCGAACCGGATCTAGAACAGGTATGTCAACTAGAACATCCTGCATATCCCCCAACCGGATCTAGAACAGGTATGTCAACTGGAACATCCTTGCATATACCCTCGAACCCGATCTAGAACAGGTATGTCAACTGGAACATCCTGCATATCCCCGAACCGGATCTAGAACAGGTATGTCAACTAGAACATCCTGCATATCCCCGAACCCGATCTAGAACAGGTATGTCAACTAGAACATCCTGCATATCCCGAACCGGATCTAGAACAGGTATGTCAACTAGAACATCCTGCATATCCCCCGAACCCGGATCTAGAACAGGTATGTCAACTAGAACATCCTGCATATCCCCCGAACCCGGATCTAGAACAGGTATGTCAACTAGAACATCCTGCATATCCCCCGAACCCGGATCTAGAACAGGTATGTCAACTGGAACATCTTGCATATACCCCGAACCCGGATCTAGAACACGTATGTCAACTAGAACATCCTGCATATCCCCGAACCCGGATCTAGAACAGGTATGTCAACTAGAACATCCTGCACATCCCCGAACCGGATCTAGAACAGGTATGTCAACTAGAACATCCTGCATATCCCCGAACCCGGATCTAGAACAGGTATGTCAACTAGAACATCCTGCATATCCCCGAACCCGGATCTAGAACAGGTATGTCAACTAGAACATCCTGCATATCCCCCCGAACCCGGATCTAGAACAGGTATGTCAACTGGAACATCTTGCATATACCCCGAACCCGGATCTAGAACAGGTATGTCAACTGGAACATCTTGCATATACCCCGAACCCGGATCTAGAACAGGTATGTCAACTGGAACATCCTGCATATCCCCCCGAACCCGGATCTAGAACAGGTATGTCAACTGGAACATCTTGCATATACCCCGAACCCGGATCTAGAACCGGTATATCCACAGGAACATCCTGCACATCCCCCCGAACCCGGATCTAAAACAGGTATGTCAACTAGAACATCCTGTATATCCCTCCGAACCCGGATCTAGAACACGTATGTCAACTGAAACATCCTGCACATCTCTCCGTCAACTAGAACACCCTGTATATTCTCTTTTTCTTTTTTTTCCTTCCCCTCCTTCCCCGAACCGGATCTAGAACACGTATGTCAACTAGAACATCCTGTATATCCCTCCAAACCCGGATCTAGAACACATATGTCAACTAGAACATCCTGTATATCCTTCCGAACCCAGATCTAGAACACGTATGTCAACAGGAACATCCTGTATATCCCCCCAAACCCGGATCTAGAACACGTATGTCAACTGGAACAAATTGCATGGGCCTCCCAGCTGTAACTAGAAGAGGTACGTCAACAAGAACAACCTGGATATCCCCCAGAACTTATGTATGTCCAATATGTATTGCTTGGTTTGTCCCAGGTAGGCGATTTAGAGGAGTCGTAGGTCTTGTTTGCTCACCACACTCAAGACTTTGGTTTGATTTCACACATGTGAGAAGACATTCGCTCACTTACTCCCTCATCTTGGTTATTTCTGTCTGAATTTCTTTGTAGAGAACTGATGACGATGCTAGCCTCCATGACCAAGTTCTCTGGTAAGTTAGACATTTGTTTGGCAGTTTTTGGATATGAATTCATGTCAGATTCAGGGCTACAGATAAGGGGCATACAGGCATAATGTACGCCTCAAAATCAATTAAGTACAACATAACATAAGATTTCAAGCGTATCGTGTACGCACATAAATACCTATGTACGTCTAACATTTAATTTCCGTGCAAATGAAAATCTATTTCAGATAAATACTTGTCAAGTTTCTTTTGCGGAACACGATTTGACACATGAGGAAACCCCGACAGTAGGAATCACTTGCGTTGCCATGCAACGATATGCGTCACTATTTTTCGATTGGCTTAAAACTACACTGTTCCTATTTATATCCAGTCGGACCTGACATTTCGCGCATCACAAGGTCGCTCAGTTATTTCTCACGCCTCTTCAAATACAAATACATGGTTGGAAATAGTGATCGATGAATAGTCCAGACAAACCACATCACCAGCTCGCTCACACATGTCAGTACTCCTTCAAAATTCTCAGTACACCTCCACTTGCAATATGATGTGTAAGTACACTCACACCTCCAAAAGTTATCTGGAGCCCTGAGATTGATTCCGCACATGTGAAAAGATCAGGTAGCGTTAGTCTGGTTTGCATTGTTCAATTTAATATTACATTGTGCAAGTGTTATACAAAATAGGTGATGTTTCAGGGTTATCCATGTCAGTGGTTTAGAAGACATGATCCTCTACATCGCCAGCTCAGAGAATGAGAGACAACTCTGTATGCACTTGCTGGAGATTGTCTCCCTTATGTTCAGAGAACAGGTATGTACTTTACTGTTATGCAGTGTGCATTCATTTATTCATTAATTAATTAATTAAAGCTCTACTTGCAACTAACGAAGTAAACTCATGGTACATCATGATCTGAAGGTGAAGGTCAAACACTTTGCTTACATACGCCTTCTTCTGTCAAATACTCTGATGTGAAACCTGTGATCATGCCGATAGACTAAGGTGAGATGATACTGTTTCCAAAGTCTTGAAGCATTGTTTACTCATTCCTTATAGCTAAAATGGATAGAATTATCATTAAAACGCCCGCATGTTATCAGAAATGAGCGGCCACTGTAACTTGATAATGCCCCCAAATTGCTTGATGACGGGCCATTATCACACCCGTTGTTAGGTGACGTCATAAGGAGCTAAACTTTTGATGTTCAATCACTCATGATGTCGCTCACTTCGTCGGCTTTTCGGCTTGTTTGAACTTGGGTTCAATATTGGCGATATTTCCGACTCACATTTGTCACATGTACCCTTGTGCCATTATGCACTTTCTTGCCGGTGCCAACCTTAACAATTGTACCATAACTTACAACGTGCAGTAATGAAAACATCGAGAGGAACTCTAAAGTTGTTGAGCACTGAAAAAAATGGCTGCTGGTAGTATGGGCAAAGGCTAAGGTCGAATGTTATCATGCTCAAAAGTGACATCATCTGTTTTGTTCTATGTTTCCATATTTGTAAAAAGTGGGTCAGTGACCTCCAGTTTGTCGTTAGCAGTAAATGCTTCAAAATCAATGCCATTTGTTTTTATTTGTTAAAAATTCCATCCATTTTAGTTATAATAACAGTAACGCTATTTTTCAGGACATCATTTGCAGAAGCCTCTGTCTTTTCAACTTTTCAGTTAATGAAAGACCTTGGGCCACTGCGAATGACAATGACCTGAAAATTAGCGTTACCCTTACAACTATTTAACCGTGTGATGAATCTGTATTCAGACCCCAGACACCCTGGCCTGTGCGGGGATGCAGAGATCAATGAGTGAGAAGGAAAAGGACCAAAGGTAGGGACTTTGCGACCAGTCAGTAATACACTTAAATCCAAACTCTTTTCATCGCTGTAAGGGGTATAGGGGCCCAGTCATCTAATCCACCACAATTTGCTGTGCAGAGTTATCTTCCTTGGTTATGCCAGGAACCTATAATCATGGGTACGAATGATAATTTCCTGGTTTGTAAGCACTATCCATATACTTGTGGCTTTAACCAAAGTGGCTTCTGTGTAAGATGTGTTTGTAAGAGGTATTGGGTTGTTTAGTCACGATATGGCTGAAATACTGCTAATATGACTATAAATTTCAGCTCACTCTCTTGTTTGGGTGGTGAGGCTTAGAGACTGGCTTGAATGCATGTCATCTACCCTCATGGGAAGTTTCTCGTTACACAACTCTCTGGATTGTCTAGTCCAGACTTGGATTATTTAAGGGCTGTCTTCCTGGAAAATTATGGAGTGAGATGTTAAACAACAAACACCATCTGTTTAAGGGAGCTGGAGCTGATCAGGGAGAAAGAACAAGCACAAAAGAAAGCCCACATGTTCAAGCACAGCTCCAGGTAAGCACTTCATGCCGCTCAACAGATGTATTCAAATATTCTACGGTGCATCCATATCAACACCTTCAGAGAACTCCTTGTTTGTGAGCAGTGTTAGCCTTATATTTCATTCATCCGCTTCACGGAAAGCTTCACACATCACCTAAACTTCACTCAAATGTATCACATTAATCTGATATTCCAGATTAATTTTGAGTGAAAAATGATAAACAATAAGTTCAAGTTTGATTCAAATGTAAACAGTTTCATAAGAAGTATGTTGCTAATTTGATTTCAAGTAAAAGGCAAACATTATGGATGACAACTTCTTCTTTATTTGTTGTCATCCATAATATTTGCCTTTTACCTGAATACCAAGTCTAAATGCCTCTCAAGAACCCAATTTGATTTCAGTTTTAGCATGATGAATGTAATATCAAATTTGTTTCAGAAATAGCTTAATATTATTTTCATTTTGTTTAGTAGTTTGTTACTAATTTAGTTTCAGTTTTAACATGATTAAGGTAACATCAAATATGTTTTAAAAATAGGTTCTTGTGAATTTCATTCTATGTTATGATGTAAGTAGACGTGTGTCTCATTCCTTTTGTGATTGACGTTATTCCCTATTGAGTACAATACACTTTTCCTGTAACAGACACTCTCGGTTTGGAGGAACGTACGTTGTAGCCAACATGAAGTCAATCACTGACAGGGAACTCATTTATCACAAAGCACAGGCTGATGTGAAAAACTTTTCCTTGGATTCAAATAAGCGTCCAAAGAAGAAACCCAAGAATCGTCAGCCCATCAAGGATGTAGAAGTTAAACGAAGGTCCACCCTCAGCATCCGCTTAAGCCTGAAGGAGTTCTGTATTCAGTTCCTAGAGAACGCTTACAACCCTCTGATGTACGCAGTGAAGGTATGTCACTATGGTTACAACCCAGTTATATGCAGGCAAGGTGTGTCACAATGGTTCAAACCCTATTATATGCAGGCAAGGTGTGTCACAATGGTTACAACCCTGTTATATGCAGGCAAGGTATATCGCAATAGTTACAACCCTGTTATATGTAGGCAAGGTGTGTCGCAATGGTTACAACCCTGTTATATGCATGCAAGGTGTGTCGCAATGGTTACAACCCTGTTATATGCAGGAAAGGTGTGTCACAATGGTTGCAACCCTGTTATATGTAGGCAAGGTGTGTCACAATGGTTACAACCCTGTTATATGAAGGCAAGGTGTGTCGCAATGGTTACAACCCTGTTATATGCATGCAAGGTGTGTCACAATGGTTACAACCCTGTTATATGAAGCAAGGTTTGTCACAATGGTTACAACCCTGTTTTATGCAGGCAAGGTGTGTCACAATGGTTACAACCCTGTTATATGCAGGCAAGGTATGTCACAATGGTTACAACCCTGTTTTATGTAGGCAAGGTGTGTCACAATGGTTACAACCCTGTTATATGCAGGCAAGGTGTGTCACAATGGTTACAACCCTGTTTTATGCAGGCAAGGTGTGTCACAATGGTTACAACCTTGTTATATGCATGCAAGGTGTGTAGCAATGGTTACAACCCTGTTATATGCAGGCAAGGTATGTCACAATGGTTACAACCCTGTTATATGTAGGCAAGGTGTGTCACAATGGTTACAACCCTGTTATATGCAGGAAAGGTGTGTCACAATGGTTACAACCCTGTTTTATACAGGCAAGGTGTGTCACAATGGTTACAACCCTGTTTTATGCAGGCAAGGTGTGTCACAATGGTTACAACCCTGTTATATGAAGGCAAGGTGTGTCACAATGGTTACAACCCAGTTATATGTAGGCAAGGTGTGTAGCAATGGTTACAACCCTGTTATATGTAGGCAAGGTGTGTCGCAATGGTTACAACCCTCTGATATACGCAGTGACGATATGTCACAATGATTACAACCCTCTGATGTACGCAGTGAAGGTATGTCTCAATGGTTACAACCCTATCATGTATGCTGACAGTCACAATGCTTAAAACCCAGTCATGCATGCAGTTTGAAGTTGCATTGTGTACAAACTCTGTGTGTGCAGTCAGAGAATGTCACATTAGTATTGTAAGATCTGTTTTCTATAAAGGATAACCCATGCTGCCATGTCAGTTTCCGTTTTGCAGCACATTGTTCTTGTGAAAGCACATTGCCAGCTATTGCTAACAAAAGCTGAGAAGGCAATGTCTGTTTGAACTGATTCAGACATAATCAAAATATGTTTCCATGGTATGTAAGGTGCCAGTAGGTAAATTGGTAGCTACATGAGAATCTTGTGCTGTAATGATGCATCAAACTATTGATGGATTGCTATTGTTGAGTCTCTGATAGCAATTAATCGATGGTAGAACCGGAAAAACTATTCATATAAACTATACATTCATTTGGGAAGTGAGTTCAAATGAGACAATTCAAGGAGAGAGAAAACTATTGCAATAGGTGGGCGAAATAGACTATCGCTATCGCAATTAGTGTTGGGAATTGGTTAAAATCTCATAATTGATGATTGGTTCATTACAACCAATCAATCATCGAAAATAATTGGTTAGCGTCATTTATGAAATTTGTTAATGCACATAAAAATAAGGAAAAAAACATGTAGTTCTTTTGGGGCTTTTTGGCAAAATTTCACATGTTTAAAGAATGACTAGTATGTTAGGAACATAAACTTCTTGGAGCCTTTAAGATAAATTCAATCATGACTTTAAAAGAACTTGTAGTGCTTACAAAATGTAACAGACAAATCCAACCATGTGAAAAATATTGTTAATGAAAACAAGTGTTCCAAAATTGTTTGTGTTCGATTATGAGAAATTATGATTGATTGCTTGGTCGTTTAGTCACTACGACCAATCTTCGATTATTTCAATTAATCGGACCACCACTAATCGCAATAGTTGTTTCCCCTCAATAGTCACCCTATGAGAATCACTGGCAAAATGTCATGGAGAGAGCGAGTCATGTTGCCTTTTGATTCCCAGCAATGAGAAATATCTTTAGAAAAGTTAAAGAGGAGATAACTTAACAGTCATACCGATGATGTCAATTTAGCCAATGATATTTACATGTTTCATTAAGTAATATGGTCTGCCGTAAGTATTGTGGATGCAGAAATGCCTTTGACCATGACTGAACCTGTTCAGCTTCCTTCACTGCAGCCTTGTCAATTACTTTTATGTACATGTACTACTCAAAACAAATTAAGGAACATCAACAGCTGGATGGTTGGTGTAGATGTAGTGTAGTCTCAGTAGAGTACCTGATCATTTGAGAACAAATTGGTATTCTGTAACTTCTTTTAAGTTGTATGTCCTCAACAATTGTGTGTTTGTTGTATGCTTAGCTAGCATTGTAATGGTGTGCCTAGTCTGTCTCACAGTCCCTGAACCACATTAATTTCCCTACTGCCAAGCCCTCTCTGCAGTGCTAAAGCCCTGAATAAAACAAGTCTAGATTTCCTCAGGTTCAGGGTCTGTTAACATCTGCAAGAAAACTAACTCACTTTGGGGGGTCGGATTACAAAGTAAACATATCTAACTACCATGGCTGGCTGGACCAACATCCTCACCAGTGGCCTGGAATCTTGCCTCACATTTTCATCTGTCAACTCTTAATTAACAGCACATTGGGTGACATGAAGCTATAGTGGAGGCCTTGTGCACAGTTTCTGGTCTTGAAGAGACAAATCAAGCAAAATCTTGGGGAAAGGTTCCTCCTGAATGTTATGTTGTAAAAAGTATTGTTTCATTGTCTGATTTGGGTCCACATATAGCAGCCCAATTGTAAATGCGGTTAAGGATTTAATTGTAATTAAAACAAGGGTTATTTTTCTTATTCCTGATATAAGATAATTGTGTGAAAGGAAAGAGTTTCTTCCGTTCCCCCCAAATCTAAACCTAAACCTAACCCTAAACCTAACCCTAAACCTAGCCCTAACTTAAATTGTGGGCTTTTAATCATTTTGTGTGTGCTCTAGTAATTGTTGCATTAAGTTTCGTTTATAATTCTAGAATATTTATACATATTATTTTGGGATGGGGGAACAGGAGGAACTCTTACCGTGTGAAACTGGTGTGTTTTGAGTATCTCTTTTTATCTAATTGTTCAACAGTAAAACAAATGGCAGGGACCTAGCATGAAGAGTGAGTGATTGAGTGAGTTTGGGTTTACACTGCATTCAGTAATATTCCATATATGGCGGCGGTCTGTAAATAAGTCAAGTCTGGACCAGACAATCCAGTGGTCAACAGCATGAGCATCTACGCAATTGGGATACGATGACATGTGTCAACCAAGTCAGCAAGCCTGACCACCCGACCCCGTTAGTCGCCTTCTCATGAAGAACCAAATTCTAAAGGCACAGCATCTCGGAATTAAATCTGTGACTTCGTGATGTGATTGAGGCATCCAAGATGAAATATAGTGAGGATGATCTTGTATCTAGAATTACCCAGAACATCTTCAAGCGTAAGACAGATGCTGGCCTTTTCGCTTCCATTGAACAGTTTGTTTAAAAAAAGGTGGTTATCTATATCCTCTTCGCATATTATACAAATGGAAACTTTTGAATTTGGAGATAAGTTCAAATTCATAAATAATTTTGTTGGTGTTCCACACAGATCTTGCACCTTAGTCATCTAGTGTCCAAGTGACATTGTGGGCTACAAGTTTCCCAACAGTAAAATGTTAGGCAGTAGGGGCACTTGACTGGCCCACATGAGGTGATGACAGCATGGGGATAGGACAGGGCTTAACAGGAAGGCCAATAAATATGCCTTTCACTTATAGCGTTATCTGATGGTTGTATGATGTGACTTCTAATTGGTAATGACCCCAGCACGTGTAGCCCCAATGCAGATGTTCTTAGTCTCTGAATCTCTGGTCTCCCTAAGGCTCCTTTTCAATATAAATGGGCTTGTTTGTTACTATCAAAATTATATATATATTCAGAGACTAAGCCTTAGTCTATGGTGTGCCCTAAGAGTGATCAGAGATTTTGCCATGGCTGCCATTTTATATTTACTTATGTATCAATGAGTATTTTTAGGTGCAATGATAGCATCTGTTACTTTTTTTCGAGAATTTTGCCTACCTACATGTTGTAATACCTTATCTGATAAAACGTTTGAGACTTTATTCTGGGCATTGCGCCACTGCTTTCATCTCATAAATTTGGTACAAAAGTTGTTATTTTTGCTTATCCTGACTCATGCTTAATTGCTTGTCTCCTTCTTCTTGCGAATGATAGTGGAACACTTGAATCCCCTTTGAAGCTCCCTTCAAAAAGGCAGACGTAAAATCACTCACCCAGTGTTATCTCCCTTTAGATGTTTTGGCGAGAAATCCATTAAATGACCCAACATGCTCCTCACTCTCTCCTTCTTTGCCCTAGAGGACGGTTGTAAGAGCGTTATATCCATTTATATTTAGGCCTTTACTACTAAATAATACTATTATACTAAAGGAGACAAGCAATTAAGCATGAGTCAGGATAAGTATAAAATATCAATTTTAGTAAAAAAATTACATTTTCTCGTCTCAGGACAACTTGGTACGTGAGCGTACACAGGAGCACGATGAGACCTACTACCTGTGGGCCATGAGGTTCTTTATGGAGTTCTGTCGCCATCACAGCAAGAGGATCGAGCTAGTCAGGTACTTCTCTCAGGACCACAGTACATGTTTGAAATGATCTTAGGATGTCCTGTATTTAGAATGTAAGAGAACATCGAACATAATCAGATTTGTGGCCAGGGGCTCCTTTCACGAAACAACCTTTACTAAGGTTAACCTTAACTCCCATTCTTTAACATTGCACTACGGTTACCTTAGTGACTCACGATCACCTTAGTGCTTTGTGAAAGGAGGCCCAAGGTCTAGTGGCATGACTTATCATAACCTGAAAACTATTGAACTTTTGTAATTTGTCCCTAGCTACCTTTCCTGGTTGTAAGAGGGAACCTTTGGAGAGCCTGGAACAGAACTGGGCCTAGATTTGTCGAAGCTCTCTTAGCGCTAAGATAGTCATAAGTTAATGCTAATGTATGGCACTTACGACTATCTTAGCTCTAAGAGAGCTTCGAAAATCTAGGCCCAGGTTCCTAACTACCTCTCCTGGTCATAAGAGGCAATGTACTGAATCAAGTGGACAGACTTGGTGTCCTGGGCACCGTTTCAAAAAGCTCTCGTAAGCTGAAGAACTCATACCTTTCTCGTAGCATTCGTACTTCCTATGTTACAGTATAGAAGGTACAAATGCTATGAGAAAAGTTACGAGATCTTCGGCTTACAAGAGCTTTGCGAAACGGGGCCCTGATTGATTGGTCATTGTACCCCATCACTGGATTGTCTGGTCGAAGATTAATTATAGGTTCCTGTGATATAGCTGGAATAGTGCTGGGAGGGAAGTTAAACAAGACATGATTTGATGCAGCAAATTTTACAATTGCTTTGACATTTTCTGACAGAGACATGTCAGTAGAGCCACATTCTTTGAGTCATTCTAATGTGGTCCTGTTCTAGTGAGACGCTGTCAGTGCCAACATTCCACTACATCTACACCAACCTGATCACCTATTATGAGATGATAATGACTGAGAAGACGGAGGCTATCACTTGGAGCAAAAGGTGTGTGGGTGTCTAGCTTCATCGTGTCAAAATATAAAAAATAGGAATGTCATGATTCAGACTGCAGCGTATCTCTATACTTAAATACTTTTTTATCCCCCGCAACGCGTTTTGCGGGGGGTATTAAAATGGACTCCGTCCGTCCGTCCCTGCACATTTGTCTTTTCTGGGGGAGAACTCTAAAACCGTTCACTATTTCTTCACCGAACTTGGCACATAGATAGATCTGGTAGTGTACTGATGCCTTTTGGTAGTTTGGGATTTCTGAATAAAATAATTTTGGCATTTCCATGGCAACAAGTTTGACATAGACTGAAATTGGTGATAGTGCTCCTTTCTGGAGCAGAACTTTAAAAACCTTTCAATACTCTCCTTCCACTTTTCTATATACACACCAAAATATTTGACATAATCATAACTCGTAGACATAATCATTAAGAGTATTTTGCCATTTGGGGGGATATTGATGACTTTGTCTTCTTGTTTAAAATTATATGAGTAGCAGTATTGTATTATCTATTTATATATTATGATAGGTGTCACCTGAACCCTTTCTAACATTATCTCCAGACAATTTACTGAAGTTATCTCCCAGACACTTCTCTGAGGCTACTTCTTATGTCATAAGACCTCGTAAGGATGGGAAAGCCGCAATAACTCGGTGCGCCTTGTGGCAGCAAGAGTTGTATGAATCCCAGGGAGCTGCAATTGATAATAAGATGTGCCATTGAGACTGACATCCAATGATCGTGGAAAAAAATACCAGCGCCTTGAGCATGCACTATTGCATGGATATGTGCGCTATATAAATATCCAATGATAATAATAATAAGACAATTTATCATTAATACTCAGATATGTCTGGGACACTAAGGTTTTCCAACCCTATCTTCCAGGAAATCTGTTTCCCAGGCAATATTGTGTTTGTTTGTTATTCAGAGTCCACCTGGCTCTTAAAGCTTACCAAGAGTTGCTGCTGACAGTTGATATGATGGATCGATCCAAGAACCCACAGCTCATGGAGTCTGCTAAAGTTATCAGATGTAAGTCATGTTCAGCCATGGAAGTAGCAGGGGTGGAAATAACCCATTGCCCGACGCCCGAGTCCAGTGATTTTTTTCTGTCGGGCAAGCAAATTTGTATATCACACTGTACCGGTGTCCAGTTGATGTTCCAATGTTAATTATGTTGTTTATTTAAAAAATCAACAAGAAAATGGCCGGTATAGTGGAAAAATTATCAGGGCAAGTGATTTTACATGTGCCACTGTACCGGAGTACACTAGCAATTTTAAAGTTATTTCCTCCCCTGAGGCACCTCAACAGTATGGTGTTCATCATGGAGACACCTCAGGGTACAGTGTTCCTCATGGAGGCACCTCAACTGGACGGTGTTCCTCATGGGGGCACCTCAACAGTACGGTGTTCCTCATCGAGGCACCTCAACAGTTCGATGTTCCTCATGGTGGCACAACAGTACGGTGTTCCTCATGGAGGCACCTCAACAGTACGATGTTCCTCATGGTGGCACCTCAACAGTACGGTGTTCCTCATGGTGGCACCTCAACAGTACGGTGTTCCTCATGGTGGCACCTCAACAGTACCATGTTCCTCATGAGGTATATGCATTCAGCGCCGAAATCAAGCTCTTCACTTCTTCACAAACACTTTTTTAATTTGTTTTATGTGTAACCTTTCTTAGTACTACTTGCAGATTGCCACTGACTTCTGTTGTCATTAGGATACTGCACTCAACTTTGTTATTTGCAGGCAGCTTTTAGATTGTTGTTTAGAAGTGCATTTGACTTTTTCTCTCCAATGTTCTGGTGAAGTAATTGGTACATTGGATAGATTCTTGAAAATGTTAAGCTGAAAAATAGCATCCAATGACAATGGAGGCTGGAGTAAGTAATTGAAAGGGAATTGACATTATTCTCTGGGTTTATTCTAATCTGGGTTTGGTCTTCTACATCCAGGGGCGGTGGGGTTCGATTCCCCACATGGGTAAAATGTGTGAAGCCCATTTCTGGTGTCCCCCACCGTGATATTGCTGGAATATTGCTTAAAGCGGAGTAAAACCATACTCACTCACTCATTCACTCTTCAGCATCCCATGCTTGTAAGAGGTGACTAACAGGATTGGGTGGGTTGACTTTGTTGATACACTGTCATTGTGTCCCATATAATATTGCTGAATATTGCTCTCTGATTGCTAAATTATGCCTTTAAACTTGCTTTTCTAAAAAATGTTAAATCATTATACTGCCTGTATTTTCTCTTTCAATGATTTTCGTGTAAAATATCATTTGGTGTTCTATTGCAATAAAGTGTGCTTTTGATATTTGCTTGTCATCAGGATATGGTATGTGACTTAGCCCCTATTCCAAAAGTAATCTTAGCGCAAAGACAATCAAAACTCCCATAAATTAACATAGACTTTCGACAGTGGTAGCTTTACGACACAGTGCCTTTGATACAAGCACAACACTGATGCAGTTTCTCACTATTCTGTTATCTCTTTGCAGCCAATGTCTTCTACATGATGGAGTTTCGGGATATATTCACAACTCTCCTGAAGAAGTTTGACCAGTCAAAACAGTCCAGGTACAGAACTAATTTTGTGCAGTTATTTGTTGTATTTAAACTTTTTATTTTATTTATTTTATTTATATATATTTATATAGCGCCAATATAGGCCACTAGGCACACCGAGTTAATGTGACTTTCCCATCCTTACGAGGTACCCATTCACAGCTCGGTGGACTTGGACACATAGTCACAGCATTTTGTCCTAGTTTACTTCACGTTGCTGTACCCGCAACTAGGTGTTTGCAAGTATTCGTGTGGCCACCATCTGGTCATACACCAACGGATTTGTGGGTTCTTTTAAGTGTACAGGGTTGTGTACTGTACGCTAGGGGTTGTGGCAACACTGAGAGAGTCTGCACGCAAAGTTGACTCCAAGGTTTTTACACCCAGTCACAGGTGGGCTCGATCCCGTCACCTCAAGCTCGCTGGATCACTAGCCTGGCGCCATAGCCAGCTCACCCACAATGTTGTCAGCTATGAAAGTGGGAACTGGTTTTCTGTGAGACTCTTACCTAAGGTTAGAGGGGTTTATTACCCACGTGGTCAATGTATGGGTAGTTGCATACTAATCTCGTACGTCACACGAGTGCCGTATCGTGTTGACCTGTGTCGTAACGACTTGACGTGAGATTCTAACGATTTGATTGGATAAGCGATGACCTCTCAGTTAGGTCACGTTGTGACGGAACTACCTATTCATTCATAACAAACACGTGAATTCATTCATTCTACAACTTATATGCATTGTGGGAATGTAAACATTGCGAACGTTGCTGTATCGCTGTTTAATTGTGAGTCGAACTGAGACATTATTTGCGTCAAAAACATAAACGCAAAGTTTCCACCAGTGATGGTAGCCGAGTGAAGCAACTGCAAACTACGAAACGGGGTGCTACGGAGTAGTTTAATGTAGGAGGCTGTACGAGGCGACAACTGACATGCATCGTGACGTCGGTTACCAAGGAGGCAGACGAGCAAGGCGTAGTGATGACATTAAAGTGTGACGTCATGCAAAAAGAAACATTCTTCCGCAACCTCTTTATGAAACCGGCTTCGGTTTGAAACCATAACAATAACAAAAATACGCTATTTTGTCAATATTTAATGCATGTAAGACGTGGGTAATAAATAAAATACCACACTTGTTTTCATAACATACGAATTATATGAAACTCGGTCAGATACCATAGGAAGGACACTCGTTTTGTAATATTCGTATGTAATTGAGCCCTCGTGTGGTATTCTCTATTTATGTTACCACAGAACTCCAGAGGACCCCTTACCTCTAATTTCAATGGACCTTTCAGGTCCTTGAGAGCCCTTAAATTATTGAAGTAGTGTACTGTAAGATGTAATGATCGTGCTTACAATGTGCAAAATTTACGCTGGTCCTGTGGTCCCTGGCTAGTAAAAATTCATCAGGACCACTAAATGCTGCGATTGCAGTGGTCCTGGTGGCCAGTGAATTTTGTATTGATAGTTAAATAAATCTACAAATGTTATTTTGGACCAGTGAAGTACAGACAGGACCACTAATTATTGTCCACTCACTGGTCCTGTGGTCTAGTGGGAAATTTTGAAAGGTTTCTTTCCCTGGTTTTATAACAGGATATATATATTTCTTGCCGAGAATTTGGTTCTGTGAATATATTGAACATCCTTAGGGAAGCAGGATATATATTTGCTATGTCCATTCTGTACATCTGTGCAGATAAGGAAATTACTGAGATTTATATATACAGTGAAGCCCCGATAGTCCGGACTCCAATAATCCGGATGTCTCGCCTCCCGGGCGATTTCAGCTTGTTACCAATCTATGCCTATATAATTTGCCTCGATAATCCGGAAATTCGGTTTCCGGAACCAGACGGTAAGTAGCTGTCACCAATCAGTAAAATAAACAGTAAATTGCTTCACAGTCCGGATGCTGTAAGTCGTGTTCATGAACCGTAACAACACCGCCCGGCGATGTTTACTTAATTAACTGGCCAACTGGGTTGTTGTTTTAATTAGACATAAAAAGCTCTCGACTGAAGATACTGTACATTTACACTTTGATTGACACCACAATACAAAGGCGTGGATGACAAGTGAGCTGTTTTGTGATTGGTTAATGTACTTTGACAGACAGATCCGGGTCACGCGGACTAAAAGTGATTTTGCTTTACGACAATGCTGCAAGTCACAAGTGTGCTTCGCTAACTTTAAATGTGATGTGACCAAATACCACGCCTCATATTCAACCGATGGATGCAGGAATAATTCGGACATTCAAGGCATACTACAATAGATCGCTTTGTTAGACATTACCTCACCTGTGCTGAGGAAGGACGTGATCAGACACGTCGGATCAACATGCGGATGTCACTCGGTAAAATTATTGATGTGATGAATTAAGCTTTACATTACCGTATATGACCGTCTATAAGCCGAATTTTGAGGACCAAAAAAAGCCGTCTGTAGAAGGGGGTCGTCTTATCCATGAGTTACACTTTCGTCAAACTTTTCGTATCACTTCGCGTGAACAAACAACAGAAGACGACTTTGTCAGTAGAGACGTCAAATTTGCAATTAAACATCACTAGACAAGATTAATTACCATTTAAGTTATAACTTGTTTTTGCTGGGCATTGTTTTATTTGCAGGGATTAAGATTACCATGCGTATTTGTCTCGTACACAAAGCCGGAAATAGCAATCAGCTGTGCACACGTTTCCCTGCGAACAAGTTCAAACATGCACAATAATATAACGGATCTAATTCTGACGAAGTCATCAGTAAAATATAATACAGAATACCGCTTATTTAACCCAAAGAAATATATCCTAGCATTGTGTAATTTTAGTTACAGTTTTTGCTCTATAAATTAATTAAGATTACCGTATGATTTGTCTCGCATACACAAAGCCGGAAATAGTAATCAGCTGTGCACACGCTTCCCGCCAACAAGTTCAAACATGCACAATAATATAACGGGATGAATTCTATTGATTGAATACTATTATTTAACCCAAAGAAATATATCCTAGCATTGTGTAATAGTTTTATGTAAAAATATATAATCAACACTAAGGTTATATCGGACCATCATGAACGGGTAAGCACGCGACATGGAACGAGGCGTAATCAGTTTGTGATTGTTGAATGGGGTAAAATAAGCAAGCCAGTTTGTTGCTACAATAAATATGATATTTAGAGAAGCAAAATATATTATGCATTTTCTGTCAACTACGCCGCTTCGATCCGTGAGTGGACGCTAATATATATGACAGTGAATTCTTTGAATAATGTGGATCGACTTTACAGTATGAGGAGGACAGTGACACGGAATTTGATGGGTTTTACGGCCGATGACTTGTGAAAATCTCAGAACTCTCTTGCAGAAATGTCAGTGTTTATTGTTAGTGGACTATTTTTCTTATTGTCATATATATATAGATGAAATATGGACACTTAAATATTTTGAAACAAAAGTTGACTTCAGTTTTTATTTACCTATGGTACTTTTTCTCTCCATACTCACCGATTTCACAAAATGGCGCCTCGTTGTTGATGCAAGCAGTGATCTTCGGGGATAAAAAGGAACACAAACACATGTTGCCACAATACACCGGGTAATCTTTATTATGTAATATTCTCACCAACACTTACGCTGTATATCCACTTTCCAAATGGCGCCTCGCTGTTGATGCAAGCAGTGATCGTTAAAAAAGGTAAACAAACACCGGTAATCTTTATTATGTAATATTCTCGTAATGGTGTCTCGCCGCTGATGGAACATACTTACCGGGTACTCTGGTCTTCTAATGGCCGCGACCCATCGCTGGGTCGGCCTATCCATGAGAGATATGATTTTGACACTGATTTTGAGGGTGAGTTGCTGGTGAAATGAAATTTAGTCAAACTGAATGTTTTTTTATGATTTAGCAGCCTATATATACTCCTACACTGCTGTATGTGCAAGAAGTTACTCTAATCTACATTTTGTATGGGGAGCTTATAAAGATTACTTACAGGTTCCTTGGAACTTGGTCAGAGGTTCCCGTATGGGATCAGAAACAGTAACTGAAATATTGTTCACATTCACTGACTCCAGAGGTATCCGTGTGTAAGTGTTTGGGGCATTAGTATCGATGTCATGCTGTCACTCTTGGTGCTTTTCCTGAAGATGTTTACCTCACAACTATCTAAATGATAAGGATTTTGTAAGTGAGTTGGGTTTTACATCGCTTTTAGCAGCGTGTAAAATTCCTGTCTGTCTGACCGTCCAGAATGGTCTATTTTCATCACGGACGGTCAAATTTCAAGAGTAGCCTGTCCGGTGGTCTGGTAGATGTTTTCACCCCTAACAGTAAATATTTCATAATATCAGACAGGTTCTCTTATTGTCAGTTTGAGGTGTTTAAGATGTTATGATAATTATGTTAAACTATTTACGATTGGACAGTTCAGTTTACAATAACCAATCACAACACATGTACTTTCAGTGTACCTAAACTCGGTGCATTGCCTGTTAGTGCCATGTTGTTCATTGCGATGCCTACAAACAGTAAAGTATTCAGAAACCTGATTTTTTTTTGATTTTTTCATTGTTGAAAACCGGACAGGCAAGTTTGTATCCGGACTGATACATTTTTTTAAATTACCAGTCCGGCTGTCTGGCTTGGAATTTTGGGAGTTTTAAACACTGCTTTTAGCAATATCCCAGCAATCTCATAACAGGGAACACCATAAATGGGCTTCACACATTGTAATCATTTTGGAATCGAACCCAGTAGATGAGCCTGATGAGTGTATGCTTTTAACCATGAAGCTACCCCACCAGCCCTAAGTGATGATGTTGCTTGATTGATGCTCTCCAGGACATACCTGCGTGACCTTGTGGAGACAAGTCACCTGTTTGTGAAGATGCTGGAGTACCACTGCAAGAAGAATGCCCACATTGTTGTCCAGAAGAAGATAACCAAGAAGAAGAAGCCCAAGGTCAAGGCCAAGGGTATGTTTTATTTAGTACATCTGTCCATCCCAGTTAAATAGATATAATCCTACCAATATGCCAGTGTCTGAAATTGTGTCCTTGTGTTTAACTCTAGATGTTTGATGACAGCAAAATTTTAAAATGTTAACATCAGGTTTGTGATGATAGATAGCATTCAGACGCTATAACATTGGCAATGGTTTTGCCAACGCTAGGACCGTCCAGAATGCTATCTGGGTCTTTGTGTGTTTCATTTCAACCTGTAAAGTTCTTAGCACATCCTCTATTACAGCTGACCGCCTCCGGTGTAGTGGTTAGAGAGCCAAGGTCGCGGGTTTCGATCCCCCGACAGCATCATACCAAAAGACGTTAAAATATGGTACTTGTTGGTCCCTGCCTGGCGCTCGGCATTAATGGGTACAACAAGGATTGGTCGGCTCGGAGTCAGTATAATGTGTCTGAGTGGGGTATTCATGCTTCACTGCGGCATGGTATCTCAGTGAGCTGGCACTATAAAACCAGCTTAAGTCTGGGCTAGTACAAGCAGCCGCATATACACATACACACGCATGCGCGTCGTCATATGAGCGAAATATTCTCAAGCACGATGTAAAACCCAATTTCACCTCACCTCTATTACAGCTTGTTATAAAACTTAGACTACATGCTGAGATCTTTGAAGCATTGTTTCACCTTGAGAAGGCTGATTCTAGCAGATGTTACCAGATAAATACTTTTCCATTACTATCAAACAGTGTACCTATATGTATTATAGCTAAAATGGTTAGATATATCATAAAATGATGTTTTTTTCAAATATATGTGGACATCTGTAACTTGATAGCATAACCAGAGAAGCTATCCTTTCTGTTGTTAAGTGATGTTTTGTATCTTGTTAATGATGTCGTCCTACATTGTTTTCTGTAATGTCATGAATAACATAATGAACTCTAGACTTCTACTGCTGTTAATTTGGTAATTTGGGGATTAGCTACAAATTCTATCCATTTAGCTATTACACTTGTAATGTTCAAGTGCTTTCCTTTATCGGACAGTCAATGGCATATCTTGGGCTTCTAAAAATGATAAAATATAGTAACTCTTATAATAGCGTTATCCAGTTCCCACCCATGAGAAAGTCTTCATCCTTCCTGACTCCTGTCTGAAAATCCTGATCTTTAAGATATTTACAGTTGTCTTCTTTTTCTTTCACTGTCGGGGGGTGGGGTAGCCTAATGGTTAAGGCTTTCACTTGTCACGCTGAAAACCTGGGTTCGATTCCCCACATGGGCACAATGTGTGAAGCCCATTTCTGGTGTCCCTGCCATGATATTGCTGGAATATTGCTAAATGTAACATAAAACTTGACTATACTCACTCATTCGCTGACTCACTCTTTCTTTCTCTGTAATATTCTCTAATGTACGTTACTATTTCCAGGTGCCCTTGAACCTTCCGAGCTAACACCCCAGGAGCTTGAGGACCTCCAGGTGCCCTTGAACCTTCCGAGCCGACACCCCAGGAGCTTGAGGACCTCTGGGACGAGATCTCCGGTCAGCTGTCCTCCATATTCCAAGGTCGTGACGAGGTACCTAATGTGGCTCCATTCGATGCTGCATCTGAAGTAGAGGTTGATCAGCAGAGGTAAGACTTCATAGGGAAGAATTCACTTCCCTCTTGGACTTTATGGCTGTAGTCCCTTGTGTTAACCTGTTAAACATCTGTAACCAATCCGCGACAACCCTAGTAGCGTCAGGGAACTGGACATGTGACCCAGTCATCTAGACCCACTTTTTGCTGTGCAGAGTTGTGTCCCTTAGGCTTTGCAGACGTCAGAAATCTCTTTTCATATTGTATCCCTGTTTGTCAACTCTATACATGTGGTTATGGGTATCTCCAATAGTGGTAAACATCATGGATCTCCGTCAGTTCAGGCTTCCGTCACACACCAAGCTAGTGTTGGGAATTGGTTGAAATCTCACAATTGATGATTGGTTCAATACCAATGACCAATCATCGAAAAAAATTGGTTCGCGTCATTTTTTAGATTTTCCTATTCAGGTTGTAGTTGCAGATAAGTATAAAGAAAAACATTTGGTTCTCTGTTGTTTTTTGAAACTCACAAATTACATTTGCAAATTTCACATCCAGTGTAAAATGATTCAGTTCCAGTGTAACATGAACTTCCCAGATTCTTCAAGAAATATTCAGTCATGACTTTTCAGAAAATGAAGTGAATTTTCTTAGAAATAAACACGTTTTCAGGCCCTGACAACGTCCTAGATATGTTCAATCATCAAGTATTTCAAACTCTATTACAGCGGTTCTAAATCGTTTGTGTTCGATTATGAGAAAATGTTTGGCCACTGTGACCAATCTTCGATTATTTCAATTAATCGGAAAACCACTACACCAAGCTGGCTGCCGTTTCTAAATGAAATACTGTTCTTAGCAGCATGAAGCCCATCTCTCTGACGAGAATCACTCTCTTACGAGAGTCACTCTCAGTAATGTCTTATTGACACTGGTGACTGAAAATTGATGAATGACATTAACATTATGTAGGCTGAGACTCGTAACTCCAGCCTTCATTTGATTCCATGCTGTTTCTATCTGACTCTTTGGTGTTCAAACCATGATATGACTGGAGTACTTCCAACAGCAGAGTAAAACCTCACTCACTCACTCACTCACTGAAATCATTACTATTTCATCTCTATTATACAGGGTGGATGCCATGTGTCGCATTCAGGACAGCATGAGGAATCGATTGCCTGGTGAAGCTGTGGCCATCTTCAGAGGTGCTCGGTAAGTCCGTTCTCACTATTGCCGACTCCCACCAGACTCTCCCACCAGTTGTCATGAAATGGGTCAGAACTGATGCCCGGTTGTAAGAGCCGACCATATAAGGTGGTCAGAATCAGTGACCTGGATTATTGCATGTCATCATACCCTGGCGGTGTAGATTTACTGCTCATGATATCGATCACTGGATTGACCTGTTTTTTCTGTCCAAAGGTAAGTGTCAGTTCCACCAGATGAAGCTGGTCTGACACAGAAACCAAAATGATTGGGTTCTTGATTCCGACTGGTGGTCAAAGTTGCAAACTTATATATAAATATAACTTCATGAAGTGTAAAATAACTTCATGAAGTTGATAAAGTCTTTGTGAAGTGTGTCTTCATGAAGATTTTAGCTGAAGTTGATGAACACTTCATGAACTCATGAACTGAGTTTTGCAATGGTAAAAATAGCAAATGCTAAAAAGGGAGCCATTTTACCTGCAAAGGATAATTTTGATGTGTGTTATTTTATTTGACATATCTTGAACCACATGGAGAACACTGAGAATAGAAAGGCAGAACAAAAGGATTTGGGGGTGGTCCTCGACTTAGTAGTAATAACCTTTAATAACCATCCCTTCATTTAAAACTTCCGATCTTTTTTGTTTTCTTTGTTGATAAGACCCGTGAAAATCAGGGGTAGAGTAGGTCTTCAGCAACCCATGCTTGCCACAAAAGGCGACTATGCTTGTCGTAAGAGGCGACTAACGGGATCGGGTGGTCAAGCTCGCTGACTTGATTGACACATGTCATCGGTTCCCAATTACGCAGATCGATGCTCATGCTGTTGATCACTGGATTGACTGGTCCAGACTCAGTTATTTACAGACTGCCTCCTTATAGCTGGAATATTGCTGATTGTGGCGTAAAACTAAACTCACTCACTCACTCACTCACTCTGTTGATAAAGGTTTTTGCTTTTGATGTATTAAATGAGTTAACACGTATGAAGATGGAGCAGGAGCCTTTAGAGCTGCTTTTCAGCATTCTTACTTTTTCATGTGTATCATGATACTGATGGTATCCATCCATATCTTGACATGTATCATATTGCAAGGTACTAGATGAAACTTAACTCTGGCCTAGCAGATGTGCCTGTGTGTCTTCAGACTCAACTTACACTCTCATGTCATGGATGCCTTCTAGACCCGCGAAGATCCGGGTTATAATTGGTCTTCAGCAACCCAAGCTTGTCATAAGATACGGCTAACGGGATTGAGTGGTCAGGCTTGCTGACATGGTTGACAAATGTCACTGTATCCCAGTTGCATAGATCAATGCTCATGCTCTTGATCACTGGATATTCTGGTCCAGACATGATTATTTAAAGACCACCGCCATGTAGCATTAATCCTGCTGAGTGCGGCATTGCACAACAAATCAACCAACCAAAAGCTTTCTGAAACATTTGGCAGGGGGTTGATCACCTTGCCAACAGCTGCAACATGTCAGTAAAGGACACATTTGCTGAGGATGTGAATATGTTGTGCATGTGTTGCTATGGTTACAGGGAGGTGTGGCCGGAGCGTGATGAGTTCGGGACACAGAACATGTCCCCGGAAGACGAGTTCATGGCATTGCGGGAGATCTTCATGGCTCCATTACCGAGTGAGTAAAACTACTAAAACACATACAAACATTGATAAGATCGATTGAATTTAATACTGTTTATTTTTCAAAAGATATTTTTTTACAGTTACTAAACATTTCACAGTAATCTAGAATACATTCAATGACCTTATCCTGTGAAGGTCAGCAGTGTCATTTTGAAGCAGGTTCTTGCTAGAGTTGTCTCCCATTGATAACAGATTATGTCTTTATGGCTTTACATGTGAAGCTTCTGTTACGTCTTTTTCTCTTAAGACCTTGTGAATTATTCCAGATTGTGTCATGGATTTGGCTATTTTTGAACAGATATTGCATTTAATGTTCAAAAGTGATATGTTTACAATCAGAGAGCAAGGCTGGGATATTTCAATAATTCTTTACACTTCAGATCCTTGAAAAAACATTATTACCCACAGATTGTTTAATTCATATGGTAATAATCATATATCAGAGATCTTAACCATGATGATTTTGCTGTGATAGTTACAATTAAGAAGCTAAAATTACACCATTATGCTTGCCCTTTCACTTATTACATTTGTTTTTTCCTTTTTACCACAAATTATTAACCTAAAGATATGGAGAGCAGCTTGTGTGCATGGTAACCTGAAAGCATTCTACGGAAATACTGCTGACCAATGACAGCCATGCTTTCGATTCACATAGTTCAAATGCCCATTACTCAGTGAGACAAGGTCTCTGATTGGTTGCTTTGTTTTAACACACTCATGTCAGGAGATCGTGAAAATCCAGAGGGACTAGTTTTTCTTTTCTTCCAGAATCTTGCTACTTTACATAAATCAATAGTTTGAAATGAGCTTATGGAAGTCTTATGGAGTATCAACTACTCTGGGCTGAGGAGCACACAAAGAAATCTTAGAACCATTGTCATGAACAGGAAACTGCATTATTGATATGGACTGGAAAAGTTTTTATTTTGATACATCATTTCTAACAAAAGACATGATAAGTAGTAAATTTTATGTCAATATTTATAGACAGCCCCAGTTCTCAGGCACTACCTCTTTTCTGAGACCCATTGGAATTTACATCACGACAGAAACATTAAATAGACAGATCTCGAATGATTTCAGGACAGTCTGAGTCATGTAATATCCTAATAAGATCATAGAAATATGTATACATATATATATATGAATTTGATATAAAATAAATGTGAAGTATTAATATATGTTATATGAGTATGAATTCATAATAAAATAGAGATAATCTTATATGTGTCGAAACAAATATAATTCTATATCCTACAATGCAATATTTATACAAATCATTTAGTTATTTACAAGTATTCACAAGCAATATACTCTTACACACCATTACAGTGCAAGTTTGAGTTGTTTATGAAAGAGTCAATTAATATTATTTATCTTAGGATTATGACTAGTATTATGGATGCGATAAGCAAAACTGATAAACTTGTTATCACGATATGACAGATATGAAAATGAGGTTGCATAGAAGGAACAACTCCATATGTAAAAGCAATGCCTTCTCTCCCAATGTATTATTGACCTTTCCAGGGGTTCAAAAATCCCATTGCCCGACGCCCGGGACAAGTCAGTATTCATTTCGGGCAATCAAATAATGGTATCTTACTTGTCCGTGGACTACTAGATAATTTCCACTTATGGTTTCAAACTGCAAATAAACTTTGATTTAATTTAATATCTGCTCAAAATGAAGCTATTACATTTCACAATGATAATGAAGTAGAGTTATCTTTCTTTGCTATTTATCACTTTTCAATAAATAGTCCAGTAAACATTTACCTCAAATACAATGTTGATTTATTCTTTCATAATTACATCATCATGATTATTTCCTGAAATCAGGGCAAGTGGAAAATTTGTCAGGACAAGTTACTTTCTTAAAGTCACTTGCCCTGTGGCAAGTGACTTTTTAAAAAAATGTTGAACCCCTGCCTTTCATATATCCTTAGACAGGGAAAGAAACCTTTCCAAATTTCCCACTAGACCACAGGGCCAGTGAGTGGACAATAACTAGCGGTCCTGTCTACTTCACTGGTCCAAATAACATTCGTAGATTTACTTAACCATCAATACAAAATTCACTGGCCACCAGGACCACTGCAATCGTAGCATTTAGTGGTCCTGATGAATTTTTACTAGCCAGGACCACAGAACCAGCATAAATTTCACACGCTGCTTCGATAAGGGTTTCTACTGATAAATGTGACTGCATGTCACTTGTCAATATATAATGAATTAAGTGACTCAATCACTGAGTAAAATTGTGTTTTGAACATTTATTATTGTTAGCATAACTATGGGATAAAAACACTACTTCTCCGTTTTTGCAGTTAATGAAAGATTCATCGTTGTGATATGCAGACATTAAGAAATTGTGTAAGATAACGCAACTGTTTACAGTTACCTACACTTTATCTACTGCCAAAAAATGCTAACCTTCCAGTGACTCACAGGCACTTTGGGATGTATACTTCCCAGGAAGCAGAGAATAAAATCAAGTTCAGGCTGTTCCATTAACCAGGTGGAAAAAAGTGTTTGTGGAGCTGTGTGCATCCGTGCCCAGACACACTGTATAGACCATAGCACATAATAATTATTGTCATTATTATTATTTGGTTTACTTACACTTACTATTGTCATGTGTACACAGTTTATTCGTCACCCCAAGTGTAAACTTTCATACTCGCATCAAGGTCATTGGTAATGTCCTCACTGGGCCGGGATGATGTTGACCCTCGGTCTGACCTTGACCTTACAGCTCTTTGTTTAGTGTCAATCATTAGTTCAGGCATAGGTTCACCTACGAAAAATACAACATCGTTGTAGTCCTGTCGATACTGCAGCGCACGGTGATACACAAGCTTGTTCTGGCGATATCGAATCACGAAGAATATGACGACGCCCAGGATGATGAGGACCACAGCACAGGTGACACAGGTTGCGATGATGACGGTCTTCATGTCGACCCCACCTGTTGTAGTTATTGCTGCTTGCTGAGACTGATCAGAGTCCGAGGAATTGGTTGACTGAGCTGTTTGGTTAGAGGTATTTCCTCTTCCAAGGTCATCTGGAGAATTCATTGGGGTCCCAGTATTGATAGAGCTGTCTTTGCTGGACTTCCTCAGAGGATCTTCATCACTGTGATTTCCGTCATTTGGTGTCGGAGTTGCAGATGTTCCTGTTAGCATTCCCGATGTAATTTGTTGTGTGTAAGGAGATTTTGTAGTAATGACCATATTTGGTGTTTTGTGTGTCCTTGACATTTTCCTGGTGGCTATGGTTGTCCGCGGACGAGGCTGAGATGTGGTCTTCTTTCTCCTTGGTTTTCTTGTTTTCCTTGAAGGTTTCTTTACCTTTGGTTTAGGAGTTGAACTAGGATACACAAAGAATCTCTGTGTCACTACTTTTGTCACCATCTTCGTCAGCACAATCTTGGTAGGAGGGATTGCTGTGGTCCGTCTGCGCGGCTTTGGTTTTGACTTCTTAACAGTCTTTTTAGTTGGTCCAGATGTTGTAGATGCCTGTGCTTCTGGTGTCGCTGCTGTTGTTGTTGATGGCTGCAGGGTCGTGGTGACAGCAGCAAATTGGTACGGTTTTAAAATAGACAGGGGTAAACCTTTAAGTGATGATGGAGTGTGGCATTGAACATTTCTGTCCATGAAGAAAAGTTTCTTGTGTGACTTCATCCATGCACTGAGCCACTGCAGTCGCTTGTCACAATGCCACTTGTTCCCAGCAAGCTTGACCACCTGAACACTACGCAGGTACGTCCGCAGGTTGGGATTCAAGGTTTTCAGCTCATTGTCCATCAGATTTATGTGAGTTACGTTGAGAAGAGATGAAATCATGTCATCAGAGTTCAGAACTTGCCGGGATATGGCAGGACTGAGCTGAAGATCAAGGGACTGTAGGTCCGATATATCAGCAAATATATTTCCCACCACATTCGTCTCAATGTCCACAATGAAAGCCATCTCTAGTGTACTCAAAGCAGTCAGTCCTGCGAGCGATCCCTTCTGAATACTTGTCATTTTGTTATTGTTAAGAGACAATGTTTGGAGTTCTCCGAGCTCGGCAAAAGCGCCCGTCTGCAGTGTTGTTATCTTATTTCCGCTAAGGTAAAGTTCTGTTAGGAACTTAGACTGGCTAAATGTCCCAGGCTCAATTGTTTTAATCATATTACTGCTCAGTGTTAGGATAGAAAGTGCCGAATTCTTGGGGAAATCTTTTTTGGATATCTTAGATATTCTGTTTTTACTTATCTGCAATTTTGTTACCTTGGGGGAAAATGGCGATGGTATCTTCTTCAGCTTGTTTGCATTGAGCCACAGTTCCTGTAGTTCTCTGATTCCAGAAAATGCTCCCTTTTCAATGCGGGTTATCTGGTTTTCATCCAGTGCTATGATGCTTAAGTGGCGTGTTCCTGAGAAGGTGCTCTTGTTGATCCTAGTGATGTTATTATTACTCAGTTGAAGATACCGTGTTGCCCATGGCAACCCCGAGGGTACTTCTTTCAAACTGCATCCACCAAGATCAATGTACGACAGGCGATGATTCAGTGTGAATAAGCGATTGCCGTCTTTGATAGGGTTTTTCTTCAACACGATGTATGTCAGACTTTGAAGTGGCGCAAAACAGTTCGAGGAGATTTTCTTGATTTTGTTATTTGGCATCATGAGATACACAAGGTTCTTCATGCCCTGGAACGTGTTGTCTGTAAGTTCATCTATCCTATTGTTCCCAAGATCCATTCGCTTCACGTTGGAGAGGTTCTGAAATGCACCCTCAATACTCACAATTTTGTTGTTTGTTATGAGGATGGAGCTGAGGTTCCCCAAACCTTCAAACAGACCCGGAGGGAGAGCTGTCAACTTGTTGGAGTTGAGGTTCAGGGTTTCAAGACTTGAGAGACCAGCAAAAGTGTCAGGCTGGATGGTTTGGATGTTGTTGTTGCCTAGCGACAGCTCGGTTAGTGCCGTGAGGTGACTGAGACGATCCCTGTTGATGGTTTCAAGATCATTTCTGGCTAGATTCAGGTATGTAGTGTCAGCAGGAATGTTTTTAGGAATGTCACGTAACTGCTTTCCGTAGCAGTGTACCCTCGACTCATGGCACGTACAGCTGGGAGGACATGCCGACACGCAGACCGATGCCGCCGCCACAAACACAACACACAGCAACACAGGGGACAGGCCAGCCATAATGGGCACGCTATGAACTCTTCAATACTAGAATATATGACATAAAACAAAATGTCTACTATACACAAGGAATGTTTAGCTGTCACTGACTGATGTTGGCTGTATTCCTGATGACCTGCACACAATTGTCTCAGACTCTGAATGATCCTCGTCTGTCTACAAAAACCTCCTTTTGAGAAGTATGATGAAAACAAAATCCAGTTTCGAAAATCCTTTGGGTGAATCTGAAAATCCTTTGTTAAAGTTTTGTCAGTGACATGAAACACAGAAACAACACATAAAGTATTTGTAAAATGACAGTCCTCTCTGATCACAAGATTCCCTGCATCGGGACGACCCTGTCAATGTCCATCAACGGAGCGGAGGACCATGTGACTACCACTGGCACAAGACCTGTGTCATGTGTCTCGGGCTCTTTCTGAAGCTCAGTCCGAGAGAGGATGCATGTCGTTATTTTCAAATGCGAAATCTGATTCAAATGTATCCTGAGTTTGATAGAGATCAGCTGCTAGTTGTACAAGGAAGGGAAAGTAGCCACTTTGAATCCCAAGTGGAACACCGCTCCTAACACTCAGCTACTTCCATTTAATTGACAGACCCAGAGCATGCCTTATATATGTGATGCTAGTTTTTAAAAAAAATAATTTAAAATTATTTCCTGTTTGAAAAAATGTTTTTGATGACTAAATTACACATTGCATCAATATTGTAGGGTCACATTTTAAGATGTTTAATCTTAATATGGTTTTATGAAGTGTAGTAATCAATGGCATGAGAGGGACGCAGAATTTTCATCAGTAGAATACTATAATTACCTATACAGTCAGTATGAGATATGACAAAAGATACTTATATGTACAGTTGCTGTGGAAGAACCTGTACAAGTGGACATGATTTTGTTTTGTTTAATGTCGCACTCAGCAATTTTCCAGCCTTATGATGGCTGTCTGTAAATAATCCTAGTCTGGACCAGATAATCCAGTGATCAACAGCATGAGCATTGATCTATGCACCTGGCATATGATGACATGTGTCAACCTAGTCAGCGATCTTCAGGGCTTATGAAGAAGCTGTGGATCTGATTTTTGCCTTGGGAATAACATTGGCTACGTGTTTGACTTAGGGATATGAGCTGTGACCATATGGATATCAGTGCATCACAGTATGGATGTTCTCACTCCCATTTCTGACCAGTGAAGGTCCGGGTTAGAATTGATCTTCAGTAACCCCTGCTTGTCATAAGATGCAACTAACGGGATCGGGTGGTTAGGCTTGCGAACTGGGTTGACACGTGATCATATCTCAGTTGAGTAGATCGATATTCATGCTGTTGATCCCTGGATTGTCTGGTCCAGACTCAATTATTTCAGACCGCTGCCATATAGCTGGAATATTGCTGAGTGCTGGGTTTCCTGTGGCTTTGGAAATGTATGGCTCACTCAAAATGTAAGTAATACAAACTCACTATTCAAGCTCCCATTTCCATTTAATCACTGTATTCTTACTGTATTATCATTCTATTCTCACTGTATACTCACTGCATTCTGACTGTACTCACTGTATATTCATAGTATACTGATTTACAACATAGACTAGATTATGACAAACCTGCTAGGTACCAGTACTTTTTAAAATTATTATTTAAAAGTTACTTTTTTCCTTTCTCTTTTCTTTCTTCTTTTCTCACTATTTCGGGGATTCATGACTTTCCCAGAGCCTGATAATCATCTACATCTCTCAAATCAAACTGATATTAAAAATTTTAAATTCCAGTTATAAAAATGAACTAAATTACTTATTATTGCAAAGATGATCATAAACTGACCAAATAAAAATACTTTACATTTAGTTTATATGGTATAATTAAATAAAATGTGAAAATTATACAAGTTAAACTTTGCAGGCGAATCTACATGTATGACAAAATAGAGATAATTTTCGAATTTGTCTGCCACGGGCACTCATTTGGAAATATTATCTAGTCTCTCTTATTCTATGCAGTTCCCTAGATTAGTCATGTCAAGAGACTGGTGGGGTGGAGATGGGGCAGCACGTCCAGTCATGGATCAGGAACAATTACACAATTACCACAGCGACATCTTGTAGTATTCAACACTCAGCTGTATACTTCCTTCCTGTTTATGACTCTCATTTCCATGTCAATGAGCATTGTTTGTCTGTCACATGTCGCACAGTAGCACTATATCAAAGTTCGCAGTTGAAAAAACCAAAAAAACTTGTGATTATGGAGGACAAAATTTAAAATTGTCTGCTTGAGTGGAAAGCTCTATTACACAAGGAACTTTCTTCAGTATGATCATCTTGAATATATTTTTCTGGGTATCTTGGGATTTATTTCAGAGGCTGGTAGTTGACCCCTTGTTTTAGAAAATGGCAGTGGACAGTTTTCAATATAGTTTGATATACAGACCGACAGACAGACATTTATTCAGTAACACTCCTCCGGCCCAAAATACAATGGCCCAAAATACAATCATTATACTATTTTGATATAGTTGGGATCAGTATTGATGACCAGGTACATGTGGCATGTATTTCTCAGATAACAGAACCAGCACTGAGGGACAGACAAATGATTATTTCATCATTATTGCATTGAATTCACTTTTTAAGAAATATTGTTAATGTAGGTGTGAAATAAGGAAACTGAGAACCTATAGAAAACATCGAAGGCCAGACCAATTTTTTTCTTGTTTTACAGATTTTTGTCCTCAGAAAACCTAAAGGCAGGAGGGAAGTTTTTATATATATTTTTTAAATCACGAGTAAAAGCAAAACCCACATGAGTTTCCATGTTAACTCTTTTGGTTTGCTAAAAATAAGTTGAGCGAGTTTACGTTTCACGCTGATTTCAAGAGTATTTATATCACAGTAACATTAGGATTTTATTTTTTGAGCAGGGAATATTTTTGTTCTTATTCTTGAAAAAATACCACCATCGACCATCATAAGCAAGTCACATAGATCTTAAGCCTGTCTGACCTAAACAACAGTCACATATTTCTGATTTTCTTGTCAAAGTGTACTTTCAATTTGGAATCCTAGATAAATCTGAAACGCGGCTTGGACTTAGTCCCATCACTTTTAAAAAGAAGACAACCCTACAGCTTCCCAGAAGAGTGTCCTCAGTTGGTTGATAATAAGATGTGTCAAGTGTTATATAGGGGTATCACTGCTAAGGACTCCTTGGGAAATTCAATGCCAGACATATTTGGTATAGGAAGCAATATACAAATGGTTTCATTTAAATCACATGAGAAACAAGTTCAACAATCTCCGGCTTATGATGTCTGCTGTCCTTCTAGAAGTATTACAGTGAATAGGTAACCGGACAAAACCTCTCTTTCTCTCTCTCTCAAAATCTCTCAGACCTCCCCAAGGAAAAACAAATCAAACAAGTTAAGGATATGCATTTAATTGTTTGTCAATATTTCAACAAGGTCAAAGAGCACGTAGCACACATTTTGAGCACATTCACATCATTGCACATTTATTTTTATTTGACATATTTATATGAGCATATATTTATTCACACTTTATGTGACATTTATTCATTTGTTATTATTTATTTGATCATTGCACATCATTTCATCAAACATCAGTTCAAACATCAGTTCGCATCAGTTAATGAAGCTGTTCTATCAAAACATGATAACAAGGATTAAAGAACCTTTAATCTAAAGCTAAAGATGAGAAGGGGGGATTTTGTCCTTTTTAACGTTAAGTGAGTGAGTTAATACTTAACGTCACATCGGCAATATTTCAGCCTTATCGTGGACGCGATTTTTACGCTAAGGGGGATTATGTCCGGGTGTTTTTGGTTGTTGGTTTTTTCTATTATTTTGTTATCCCCGCAACGCTGTATTGCAGGGTATTAAAATGGACTCCCCTCCGTCCGGGTCCGTCCGTGCATTTTGTCTTTTTCTGAGCAGAACTCTAAAAGCGCATACATTATTTCTTCACTAAACTTGGCACATAGATTGATCTGGTGGTGTACTGGTGCCTTTTGGTAGTTTTGGAATTCTGAATAAAATATTTTTGGCGTTTCCATGGCAACAAGTTTCACTTTGACTGAAATTGGTGGTTGTGCTCTTTTCCGGAGCAGAACTCTAAAACCGTTCACTATTTCTTCACCAAACTTGGCACATAGATTGGTCTGGTGGTGTACTGGTGCCTTTTGGTAGTTTTGGAATTCTGAATAAAATATTTTTGGCGTTTCCATGGCAACAAGTTTGACTTAGACTGAAATTGGTGATAGTGCTCCTTTCAATGCTCTCCTTCCACTTTTCTATATTCACACCTAAATATTTGACATAATCATAACTCGTAGACATAATCATGAAGAGTATTTTGCCATTGCAGGGGATATTGATGACTGTCTTGTTGTTGTTGTTGTTTTGTTTTTGTTTTTGTTGTTTGTTTGTTTGTTTTGGTTTTGGTTGAGTTTTTTGGGGGTTGGGGTGGTTTGGTTTATATTTTGTCCTGAATTCCAGTGAATAATTGAAGCGGGTAACAAAAAATACCAGGAAAGACAAAAGTCACATCGATGTCCCACTACTGATTGAGGGTTTAATTTACTTTCCGTTATAGGGTTAAATTTAAACAGAAATTGCAGACTAGCTTCTCATAAAACAATTCTCCTACATGGATAAAGTTAAATATCTATTGGTTTCATTGTTGAAATATTTTTACAACAATCAAACTCATTGACACGACCCCCTAGCAACAAGCTATGACTTACTGATGATATTATGTCCAATTGACTTTCAATATTGTTTAATATAGTGTAAAACAATGCGTGAAATATCTGTCCCGTTGGCGTTAGTATAGTGTTTCAGATGTCCCACTACTCAGTATATTGTGTCAGATAAGTGTCCAGTTTGTTCACTGGGTCAAATTACTCTCCTATTAAGTAGTACAACATTGTGTTGGATATCAGTACAGTTACTTCATACAAGATGCTAGATAACATTTCAGTTACTTGGTACACCAATGTATCAGATAGCAGTCTAGTTACTTGGTACAACAATGTGTCAGATAACACTGTCAGCTAACAGTCCAGTTACTTAGTACAACAATGTGTCAGATAACACTGTCCACTAACAGTCTAGTTACTTGGTACAGCAATGTGTCAGATAACACTGTCAGCTAACAGTCTAGTTACTTGGTACAGCAATGTGTCAGATAACACAGTCGGCCAACAGTCCAGTTATTTGGTACAACAATGTGTCAGATAACACTGTCAGCTAACAATACAGTTACTTGGTACAACAATGTGTCAGATAACACTGTCAGCTAACAGTCCACTTACTTAGTACAACAATGTGTCAGATAACACTGTCGGCTAACAGTCCAGTTACTTGGTACAACAATGTGTCAGATAACACTGTCAGCAATGTGTCAATAACAGTCCACTTAGTTACTTGGTACAGCAATGTGTCAGATAACACTGTTAGCTAACAGTCCACTTACTTAGTACAGCAATGTGTCAGATAACACTGTCAGCTAACAGTCCAGTTACTTGGTACAG